GGTGCTTACATTGCGGGGGTTACTTGGGGGGTCAGGAGGGGAGGGGGTGCTTACCTTCTGGGGGAAGGGGAGGGGGCACATATAGGGGGAGGGACCCTTATGGGGGACGGAGGACAGGAGGGGGCTTACCCTGCAGGAGAGGAGAAGGGTGCCCATCTTCTGGGGAGGGGCACATCAGAGAAGGGAGGGGGAAGAGGAGGGGCTGCTTGCCTTGGGGGGGGAGAAGGGAGGGATTCTTATTTTGAGGGGAGGGGGCACCCACCTTGGGGGGGTACACCAGGTTGTTGTCGTCCACGGTGGACACGATGAACTCCCAACTCAGGGTGTCCACTGAGATCTGCCAAAAAAAAAATTAAATTAAAAAAGGGCGTCGGGCACTGAGGATGGGGGGGCAGCACCCACCCACCCACTTCGCCCGTCCGGCCCACCCGCTGCCTCCCCCCCAGCATCTCCCCGCCCCTCCCCGTACGTTGTTCTGCCGCGCGGCTGCCTGCAGGACAGCGGTCAGGAATCCGGTGGGGAAGGTGAAGCCGGAGAGCCAGAAGAGGACGGGCGGGTGAGCCGTCTTCGCCCAGCGGGCAAACTGCTCCACCCGCAGGCCCAGGTCCCGGGTCCAGGCCGCCAGGAGCTTCTGGGAGGAGTAGGCCTGCGGGAGGGGGGGGACACAGAGCTGAGAAGGGGCCAGTCCCCGCAGCGACGGTGTTGCAGTGACCAGGGTCTCCCTGTTTCCAAAGCTGGAGGCCGTGGGGCAGAGGAGACCCCCCTCAAGGAAGGGGCATAAAAGAGGAGGGGGCAGCCACGAGCAGCAGGAACCAGGAGCCCCCTACCCTTTCCCACATGGGGGGCACGCGGGCGTCGAAGATGCAGTTGAAGATCTCCTCCAGGTCCGTCGACATGACCACCAACCCTTGGATGCCTTTCTCCAGCTCCACCAGCGATGAGCTGCGTGGGGGGTCAGAGCGGGGAGGGGAGAAAAGGGGGGACAATTTAGGCCTTGCGGGGTCCAGCACACCAAAGCCCACGCTCCCCAAAGAAGGAAGAGGAACACTCTCGGCAACAATCTCTTCCGACGCTTTACACACGATCTAATTTTGCAGCAATCGCAGTCTTAAGTCTGCGTTTTTTTCCATCCTCGGCCCTTTCGCTTCATCATCCACCCTTAAAAGTCTACACAGCTGGTCCTCCAGTTACGGCCACAAATGAGCCTAAAATTTCACTGCCAAGTGGGGCAGTCATCAGGTGACTTTGGCCCTAGTTTGCCACCTTTCTGGCCACTGTTGTTAAGTGAATCACTGCAGTGGTTAAGTCAGTCACACAGTTGTGAGACTTTGCTTGTTGCAAAAGGGGATTGCATAACCCTGGGACACTGGCACCGTTGTAAACACGAGTCAGCTGCCAAGCGTCCGAGTTTTGATCACGTGACGGGGGGAATGCTGCGACGGTCGTAAGGGTGAAAAACGGTCATAGGTCATTTTTTTAGTGTTGTCGTAACTTTGAACCGTCACTAAGCAAACCATTGTAAATCAAGGACTTCCTGTCTTGATGTTTTAACTTTTCTCTAATTATACCCTGTGAGTTTCTACTTTTCAACATTCCTGCGGCATTTATTGATTTCTTTTCATCTGATTTATTGAGAACCATGGTTATAAAATTCATTTCATATGCGATACGGAGACTTTTTTTCACAGAAATCTCTAAAATACTCGTCGTTCCGACATTCTCTCACTTCAGTTTCCATTGCACCGATCTGAGTTTTGATCCCCTTCGCTCCTTTTCGTTCACTCCTAATACAATTTTCGTTTCCATCAAAATTGCTCTGCCTTTTCGTGTTTAATTCTGCTTTTTTCGCTGTCCTCCTTGGCTGCTATCTTTTCCCCTCTCTGCATCTGAATTTCGATCACATGACCGTGGGGGATACTGCAATGGTTGTAAGGGTGAAAAACAGTCGTGTTTTTTCAGTGCCGTTGTAACTTTGAACGGTCACTAAAAGAACGTTAAGTCAAGTCAACTACCTATATTAAAACGACCAGATATTAAGTTAAAATATCTTTTTTTTTTGTCATCCACGGCCACTTCTGCTTCATCCTTCCAAGCGTGCTTTTTCATTAAATTTGACTGCGCTTACCTTAAAATTTCGTTTTAAAACCTCAGCCATTGTTATGCTACTCCTTGTAATTCCAGGCTGGCTGGGGAATTCTGGGAGTTGATGTCCACGCATCTTAAAGTTGCCCAAGGTGAGAAACATGGTTCTAAGTACTTAAACGATCATCATTCACCGCAAATAATCCAACTTCCAGGCAGAAATAGGCCACTCTCACTTCAGGACGCCTGCAGCCAAGTTCTCGACTTACGATAGTTCATTTAGTGACCGTTCAAAGTTACAATGGCACTGAAAAAAGTGACTCGACTGTTTTTCACACTTATGACCGCTAACTCAGATGCTGGGAAACTGACTCATATTTACGACTGTTGCTGTAGTCTCCTTTTGTGACCTTATTGACTCGCTTAACAGTTGTGGCCCGAAAGGTCATGAAACCCATTTAACGACTGTCTCGCTTAGCGACAGAAATGTTGGGCTCAACTGCAGCTGTAAGTGGAGGATTGCCAAGGGAAAAACTCTTGATGGTTTGACCCGGGAATGCTCAGTGACGGAGACCCCAAAGCAGAGACCCCAAACTTCACCGCCCCACACATGAGGCAGTGGGGTGGCCCCCTCCTCACCTGATGATCTGCAGCAAGGAGTTGTAACGCTGGATCTCTTGCAACAAGACCACGTTGAGAGGGGAGGGATCGGTGGAGAGCACCTTACAGGTGCCCTCGTAGTCGATCTCCTCCGGGATCTTGCTGCGCACGTCAGATGAGAGCTCCAGCACCTGGGGGGTGTGTGAAGGGGAGGTGGGACACAGGGGTGGGCAGGGAAGACATACACAAAGGATCATAGTTCCCTCACGCTGGCTGAGGAATTCTGGGAGTTGAAGTCCACCAGTCATCAAAGGGTCGAGTTTGAAGAGCCCTGCTTGTGGACTTCAACTCCCAGAATTCCTCAGCCAGCACGCTGGCTGAGGAATTCTGGGAGTTGAAGTCCACAAGTTATCAAAGGGCCAAGTTTGAAGACCCCTGCACAGGAGAGCAAGGTGACCTGTCAAGTCCCTGGTTTACCACCAAAGGGAGCTGAAGAGAAGAGCAACTAAGATGACCGGCAACTGCGCCAGGGTAAACCCGGTTAGCGGGCAACCTGGACGTCTGCCCAAGGCGCAAGCAGTTCAGACCGTGACAAGCTGGACTTTGGGAAGGGGGGGGTACCTTGTCCTCGCGGCTCTGACCGGCCACCCCTGTGGGGGTGGTCTGGGGCTGGAGGGAGAGTAGAGTTTCGAAGAGGGTCCGGGCCTCGGTGATCTGCGAGGCCACGTCGGCGTTGGGGTGCTGGCCGAAGGCCTCCGGGGGGTCCATGCCGGGTAGCAGGCTGATGTACTCCTTGTAAGAGGAGAGGTTGCCATCCTTGGGGATGTAGTAAGTGTCTAATGCCGTCAGTCTGAAGAGAGAAGGAGAGAGGGAGAGGGAGAAGGAAGGAGAGAAAGGGAAAGGGAGAGACAGAGAGAGACAGAGGGAGCGAGGGAGAAGGAAGGAGACAGAGGGAGAAGGAAGGAGAGAAAGGGAAAGGGAGAGACGGAGCGAGGGAGAGAGGGAGAAGGAAGGAGAGAGGGAGAGGGAGAAGGAAGGAGAGAAAGGGAAAGGGAGAGACAGAGGGAGCGAGGGAGAGAGGGAGAAGGAAGGAGAGAGAGGGAGAGGGAGAGAGGGAGAGCTCAGGAGAAGTGTGCGATACCCGGATCTGAAGCAGGGAGGGTGTTCCGGATACGGCTTGCTACTCATTGGTCTGTTCTAGGTTTTATTGCAATATATAACAACAACAATAATAATAATAGCTTTGTTCATTGAAAGAAAATAGAAGAGTGTTGATGGTTATCAAACAAAGAGCCAGTTGGGCCTAGTGATTAAGATCTCGGGCTAGAAACCAGGAGATGGGGAGTTCTAGTTCCGCCTTAGGCATGAAAGCCAGCTGGGTGACTTTAAACCAATCACCAGGAGATGGAGAGTTCTAGCCCTCTCTTTGCCAATGAAAGCCGGCTGGGTGATTCTGGGCCAATCACCTGGAGACGGTGAGTTCTAGTCCCGCCTTAGGCATGAAAGCCGGATGGGTGACTTTACGCCAATCACCAGGAGACGGGGAGTTCTAGGAGTTCTAGTCCCGCCTTAGGCATGAAAGCCGGATGGGTGACTTTACGCCAATCACCAGGAGACGGGGAGTTCTAGTCCCACCTTAGGCACGAAAGCCGGCTGGGTGACTCTGGGCCAATCACCAGGAGAGGGTGAGTTCTAGTCCCACCTTAGTCCTGCCTTAGGATGGGTGACTTTAAGCCAATCACCAGGAGACGGTGAGTTCTACTCCTGCCTTAGGCATGAAAGCCAGATGGGTGACTCTGGGCCAATCACCAGGCGACGGTGAGTTCTAGTCCCATCTTAGCCATGAAAGCCGCCAGGGTGATTTTGTCGCAGTCTCTCAGCCCAACCCACCTTACTTGGTTGGAAGGAGTATTATATACGTTTGTCCCTTCCAGGTACTTACACAGTAAATAAACTCAGGATCAAACCGCCCGGAGTGTCTCCTAAATCAACCTTCGACTCCAAAGGTTTCCGTCAGCCCCAGCAGAGACCCAGGTGGGGTTCTTCCTGCTTTCCTCCCTCCCCAGCCCCACCAGCCCTTGCAATCACACACACACACACACACACGCACACACACACACACACACACACGCCCAACACCTACTTGTAGAAGGGGGCGGCCACGGTCTGATCGCAGAAGTAGTCGTTGATGTACGTGGTCAGCAGACGCCGGTCCCAGTCGTCCGTCACGTGGCCGCCGTAGTTGACCCCCGCGATCAGGTACTTGAGAGCGTCCCAGGGGGTGTCCTCGTACTCGTCCAGGTACAGGCTCAGGAGGTTCTCGGACACCTGGCGGACAGGTGAGTGTCGATGGGGTGGGGAAGGGGAAGGAAGGCCCGGCGTGATCTCAGGTCCAAGCCCAAGAATGGCATCGAACGGGTTTTTTCCCAACCTTGCCCACTTGAAGACAGGTGGATTGCAACTCCTAGACGCTCCGGGGTTAAGGGTCAGGCCATCAGGCCACAAAGGGTCACGGTTAGGGTCAGCCCATCAGGCCACCGAGACACAGCAAGTTAGGATTAGGGATAAGGTTAGGTAGGCCGTCAGGATACAGAGGGTTAGGGTTTAGGGTGAAGGTCAGGCCATTAGGCCACAAAGCCAGAGTAGGTTAGGGTTAGGGTTAGGGTTAAGGTTAAGGTTAAGGTTAAGGTTAGAGTTAAGGTTAAGGTTAAGGTTAGGGTAAGGGTTGAGGTTAGGGTTAGGGTAAGGATTAGGGTTAAGGTTAAGGTTAAGGTTAGGGTTAATGTTAGGGTTAAGGTTAGGGTAAGGGTTAGGGTTAAGGTTAAAGTAAGGGTTAAGGTTAAGGTTAAGGTTAGGGTAAGGGTTAAGGGTAAGGGTTAAGGTTAGGGTTAAGATTAAGGTAAGGGTTAGGGTTAGGGTTAAGGTTAAGGTTAAGGTTAGGGTTAGGGTTAGGGTTAGGTTTAGGGTTAGGTTTAGGGTTAAGGTTAGGCTAAGGGTTAAGGGTTAGGGTTAAGGTTAAGGTTAGGGTTAAGGTTAGTGTAGGGTGAGGGTTAGGGTCAGGCCTTGAGGCCACAAAGCCAGAGTAGGTTAGGGTTAGGGTTAGGGTTAAGGTTAAGGTTAAGGTTAAGGTTAAGGTTAAGGTTAGAGTTAAGGTTAAGGTTAAGGTTAGGGTAAGGGTTGAGGTTAGGGTTAGGGTAAGGATTAGGGTTAAGGTTAAGGTTAAGGTTAAGGTTAGGGTAAGGGTTAAGGTTAATGTTAATGTTAGGGTTAATGTTAGGGTTAAGGTTAGGGTAAGGGTTAGGGTTAAGGTTAAAGTAAGGGTTAAGGTTAAGGTTAAGGTTAGGGTAAGGGTTAAGGGTAAGGGTTAAGGTTAGGGTTAAGATTAAGGTAAGGGTTAGGGTTAGGGTTAAGGTTAAGGTTAGGGTTAGGGTTAGGGTTAAGGTTAGGGTTAGGGTTAGGTTTAGGGTTAAGGTTAGGCTAAGGGTTAAGGGTTAGGGTTAAGGTTAAGGTTAGGGTTAAGGTTAGTGTAGGGTGAGGGTTAGGGTCAGGCCTTGAGGCCACAAAGCCAGAGTAGGTTAAGGTTAGGGTTAGGGTTAAGGTCATCAGGCCATCAGGCCAGAAAGCCAGAGCGGAGAGGCCCCCCAAGACCATCCTCTCAGTTCCCAATGGCTGCCCTGCCCCGCCTGCCTACATCGCCGCCTCCCTCCAAGGTGACCCCCACCTCAAAATCCGAGTCATTGAAGCCGTAGACGATGTTCCAGCCCAGCTGCAGGAACTTCTTGCGTTCCAGGAGGACGCTGTGGAAGAAGCAGAGGGCGAAGAGCAGCTTCTTGTACCTGCTGGGCTTCGTGCAACGGTTGAACTGGATGTCCGTGATCAGCTGGTACAACCGCTTCATGTTGGCCTTCAAGCCCTGCGGGAGACAAGCCAGGAAAGCCGGTTTGGGAAAGCTGGTCAGATCCATGGTCCGACGTTCTAGGTCCTTCAAGGACCAAGTCTTTGGGTGGTCAACGGCTGGCCGTTGGGCTTGGTTCCCCAAAGTGGAGCAAGAATGACCAGCCCCTTGGGGCTAACCGTGCTTCGGGGGTCTTGCAAACACCCCATCGAATCATTCTGAGGTTGTATGTTTGTGGCAACTTGCGGACTTCAACTCCCAGAATTCCTCAGCCAGCGTGAGGGAACTATGACCCTTTTATGGCTTGTGGACTTCAACTCCCAGAATTCCTCAGCCAGGAAATGGCTAGTTTTCAACATGGATAGGACAAGAAACAAAGGCGGCTAGGCTACGAATATTTTCGACAGGGTAATTTTGTTCATAGATGGGTGTGTGGTAGATGTAATATATCTTGACTTTAGCAAAGCAGGGAAAAAGAAAAAAAAGCAACAGGCTAGGGAATTCTGGGAGTTGAAGTCCGCAAGGCTTCAAGTGGACAATGTTGGACACCCCTGGTATAGAAAGAAGACCCTCATCCTCTACTCCAGGGGTCTTCAAACTTGGCCCTTTGATGACTTGTGGACTTCAACTCCCAGAATTCCTCAGCCAGGCATGCCGGCTAAGGAATTCTGGGAGTTGAAGTCCACAGGTCATCAAAGGGTCCTAGTTCCTTCACGCTGGCTGAGAAATTCTGGGAGTTGAAGTCCACAAGTCATCACAGGGTCATAGTTCCCTCATGCTGGCTGAGGAATTCTGGGAGTTGAAGTCCACAAGTCATCACAGGGTCATAGTTCCCTCACGCTGGCTGAGGAATTCTGGGAGTTGAAGTCCACAAGTCATCACAGGGTCATAGTTCCCTCACTCTGGCTGAGGAATTCTGGGAGTTGAAGTCCGCAAGTCATCAAAGGGCCAAGTTTGAAGACCCCCTGCTCTACTCCATAGAAAACTGACCTCACTTGGCACTTTCCTACCAAGGATTGGAGGCTAACCGCTTGGACCGAGAGAAGACCAAAGTGCAAAGGGTTGCTTGCAGGGATGGGCCCATTCGGGGGCTACCTGGGGAGACTCAGCCCCCTCCCCAGGGCTCCCCTCTCTTACCGTGGGGGGCTCCGTCGTCATCTTGATGCCTGCCTGCAGGATAGAGATGGGGAATTCGGGGTGGGGGCTGGAACTCAGCCACAGCCGAAAGGAAGGATGGGGCTCTTCGACCTGCAGCTGCTCCACCAGTTTGTCCAGCTGGGGCATCCAGGACAGGGACAGATGACAGTTCGCCAGGAAAACCCAGTTACCTGCGGAGGGGAAGGCCCCAGGAGACTCAGCAAGGCTCCCGGATTTCGGAGTGATGAAGAGGAAGGTGCCGAGGGTGGAGCGAGGGCTTGGCACTCACCCTGGTGGACCCCGTCCTTAATCATGCGGGTGGCGATGGGGGCCTGGCCCTGGCCCAAGGACAGGGCGTGGAAACGCTGCGCCATGCCCGAGTTCTCGGCCAGCTGCAGCAGGGAAGAGGTGGGGTCCACGCCTGGAGACAGCACGAAGATCAGGGGGGTCTTCGTGGTGGAGTCGTCCACCACCTGCAAGCAGAAAGCAGGAGAGGATAAAATGGGGAGAGCGGCCTTCCAGGATTGGAGGGGCTGCCCCAAAGAAGAGGGGGGGTTGTCCACCTCTTCTCCAAAGCACCCGAAGGTAGGACAAGAAGCAACGGAGGGAAACTCATCAAGGGGAGAAGCAGCCTGGAACTAAGAAGAAACTTCCTAACAGCGAGGACAATTAATCAGTGGAACTCCTCGCCTCCAGAAGTTGTGGGCGCTCCAACACTGGAGGGCTTTAAGAAGAGACCGGACGGCTATTTGTCTGGAATTGACTAGGGTCACCTGCTGAAGCAAGGGGTTGGACTAGACAACCTCTAAGGTCCCTTCCAGCTCTGAATCTATGATTCTGTTACAATCAGTGCAACGGCTGGCCTTCAGAAATCGTGGGCGCTCCATCCCTGGAGCTTTTTTTTTAAGAAGAGACTGGACAGCCGCTGGTCTGAAATGGTATGGGGGTCTCCTGGCAGGAGAGGGTCTCCTCGCTCACCGACTTCATGTTCAGCACGGGGGGCTCGATAAACTGGGAGCCCAGGTTGGAGACGATGAAGGCCGTGACGCAGAAGGCCACCCGGTCCGGCCGCAGAGACCGGACCACCAGCATGCGCTGCATTTGGTTGCAGGAGTTTTCCCACTCGCCTGGAACGGGGGGGTGGTGGTGGTGGGGAGAAAAGGCAGGAAGAGACGGTTAGTGGGGCTGGTCTGGCCTAGACAGCCAGCTCTCCCCCCCGTCCAGATGGTCTTCAGGAGTCCCTCCCCCCAGGTGACCTTCTCTGCACACTGAGAGCAGAGCAGAGCCTTGCCAAAGGGGATATTAGGGCCTGGGTCTTCTCGGCAGACTGCGAACCCGTCTCCCCGCTTTGGGCTCAGAGGGCGGCAAGGCTGAACTGCCCCCGCTTTGTGGGGTCCTCGGTGGTCTCGGAGCTGGGTGGTTTCCTTGCAGACGTTCCGAGACTCAGCAAGGGAACTTCATCAGTGTTGGAAGGGAGGGGGGTTTGTGGAGAGGAGGAGGAGGAGGAGGAGGAGGAGGAGGAAGAGGAAGAGGAAGAGGAAGAGGAAGAAGACCGTGTCGTTCGTTCTTGGTGCTCTCTGAGCGTGACTGTTTTCCTTGCAGACGTTTCGTGACCCAACTAGGTAATATCATCAGTGCTAGAAGGGAGGGGGAGAGGAGGAGGATTAAGAGGAGGAGGAGGAGGAAGAGGAGGAGGAGAAGGATCGTGTGATTTTTGGTGCTCTCTGAGCTTGGCTGTTTCCTTGCAAACAGTTCATGACCCAACTAAGTAATGTCATCAGTGCTAGGAGGAGGAGGAGGAGAAGAGGAAGAAGACCGTGTCGTTCGTTCTTGGTGCTCTCTGAGCGTGATTGTTTTCCTTGCAGACGTTTCAAGACTCAACTAGGTTACGTCATCAGTGCTAGAAGGGAGGGGGGTTTCTGGAGAGGAGGAGGAGGAGGAGGAGGAGGAGGAAGAGGAGGAGGAGGAGGAGGAGGAAGAGGAGGAGGAGGAGGAGGAAGAGGAAGAGGAAGAGGAGGAAGAAGACCCTATCGTCCTTGGTGCTCTCTGAGCATGACTGTTTTCCTTGCAGACGTTTCAAGGTCCAACTAGGGAACCGTGCTGGGAGGGCTTGAGCTTTCCCTATGTAGCACGGATGACGTCCCCTACTCGGGTGGCGAAACGTCTGCCAGAAAACCACCCAGCTCGGAGACCCCCCCCCCGGGACCCCACAGTCCAGCCCTGAGTGAGCGACAAAGATTCTCTTCCACGGGTGCTCCTGCCCCTTGCAGGCGTGCCGCGTCATCGTCGCCGGAGGCTGAAGGGAAGCAGCGGGCGGCTGAATCCGGAAGGGTCCGCCGGGGGGGGGAGGGGGGGCTCCAGACCTGGCAGCAGGGCCTTCTCCGGCTTGGAGCTGGTGTACCACAGGTTCCAGTCCCGGGGGTACTGCTCGAAGGAGTTCATGATGCCGTGGAAATTGGTCAGCTTGTCCAGCTCCGTGACGTTGTCCCAGTAGATGTCGGAGAGCCAGCTGGTGCAAGGGTTGTCCATCTGGCCTTCCCGGTCCAGCACCTGCCGGAGGGACGGAAAGAGAGAGAGGAGGGCGCCTGATGGAGGGCACTGTGTAATGCGCCCACGTCTCTCCCCCAAAATAAGACCGGGTCTCACATTCATTTGGGCTCCAAATGACGCATGAAAGCCGTCTGGGTGACTTTGGGCCAATCACAAGGAGACGGTGAGTTCTAGTCCCGCCTTAGGCATGAATGACAGCTGAGTGATAGTGGGCCAATCACCAGGAGACTGGGAGTTCTAGTCCCGCCTTAGGCATGAAAGCTGGCTGGGTGACTTTGGGCCAATCACCAGGAGACGGTGAGTTCTAGTCCCGCCTTAGCCATGAAAACCAGCTGGGTGACTTTGGGGCCAATCACCAGGAGACGGTGAGTTCTAGTCCTGCCTTAGCCATAAAAGCCGGCCGGATGACTTTGGGCCAATCACCAGGAGACGGGGAGTTCTAGTCCCGCCTTAGGCATGAATGCTGACTTGGTTCCTGGGCCAATCATCAGGAGACGGTGAGTTCTAGTCCCGCGTTAGCCATAAAAGCCGGCCGGATGACTTTGGGCCAATCACCAGGAGACGGGGAGTTCTAGTCCTGCCTTAGGCATGAATGCTGACTTGGTTCCTGGGCCAATCACCAGGAGACGGTGAGTTCTAGTTCCTCCTTAGTCATGAAAGTCGACTGGATGACTTTGGGCCAATCACCAGGAGATGGGGAGTTCTAGTCCCGCCTTAGGCACGAGAGCCGGCTGGGTGAGCCAATCCCTCTCTCTCAGCCCCACCCACCTCACAGGGTTGTCGTTGTGGTGGTGTGGAAAACAGGAGGAGGAAGAGCATTAGGCTATGTTTGCCTCTTTGAGTCGCTTATAAATTAATCCAGGCGGGATAAAAAAATGAAATAAACCAACCCATGTAGCCGGGGCTGCCCCCAGCCCGCCCCTCCTTGCCCCCCTCCCAGTACTAACCACTCCACCCCGCAGGAAGAAGTTGTACTCATCCATCTTGAGGCTGCCGGATGTCTCCAAGATCTTGGCGCACATCTGGAAGCTGAAGAGCAGCTTGTGTCGCTCAAAGAGACCCCGGCAGGTGTACCTGGGCAGAAGGAGACACACCTGGGTGAGGGTCCCCTGCCAGGGGGGGGTCTTGGGCCTTGCTGCATCCCCAGGGTTAATAATAATAATAATAATAATAATAATAATAATAATAATAATAATAATAATAATAATAATAATAATAACAACAACAACAACAATAATAATAATAATAATAATAAAGTTGGAAGGGACCTTGGAGGTCATCTAGTCCAACCCCCCGCTCAGCCAGGTAACCCTACACCATTTCAGAATACTACTACTACTACTACTACTACTACTACTACTACTACTAAGTGAATCGCTGCCGCTGACAAATGAGTAACCCCTTCGCTTTCCTTGTCGCAAAAGGGAGATCACACAATCCTGGGACCGTCATAAATGTGAACCAGTTGCCAAACGTCTGAATTTTGATCACGTGACCATGTGGATGCTGCAGCGGTCATAACGGGGAAAAAAGGCTGTGTCCCTTTTTCCCCAGTGCCGTCGTAACTTTGAACGGTCACTAAACAAGGACTACCTATGATCGTAACTTGAGGCTACCGTACAGGCCCAGACCACCGCGTGCAACTCTCCCTGTGGGAGATAGTGGAAGGGCGGCTGGGGTCTTCTGGTTGGGGGGTGCCTGCCTGGACCCCCCAAAGGTGGCGGAGGGGGGCAGCTCACCTGTACACGGCGTAGGTGTGGTACTCGTTCAGGTGTCGGATTCGCTCGTCCAGCTTGTGGCTGCGATGGCTCTTGTTGATGCTGAGGTTGAACAGGTCGATGTAGGCGTCCAGCGAGAACTGGTACATGGGGTCGATGCGCCCCATGTCGTTCAGCACGAAGAACAGGATGGAGGCCCTCTGGGCACAAGGCCGGTAAGCCTACAGGGACAGCGTAGGGGTGTGTGTGTGTGTCAGTGAGGGAACAGCCACAACATGGCAGCGGGGGGGAGGAAGGGGGGGACTTTCCCCTATCCCATAACCCATCTCGACCTCAGAAAAGGGATCCTGTAGACCAAACTCGGTCACTTTAAGACTTATGGACCTTCAGTTCCCAGAATTTGTCAGCCATGCCTTTTTTTTCCCCCTCCTACTTCCTATAGTGGAAAGATTGCAGAGAAAGGGATTATAAGAGAGTAATGGAATGGAAGGATTTATACTCCTTGCAGACAGCCGGTCATTTGTCTTCTTTTAGAGAGTCGTTGAGGCCACTTGGAGCTTGACCTGTGTCCTCAGGGTCACCTGGGCAGGCTGCTGGCAAGGAATATAAATCCTTCCCTTCTCTTCCATCCAGTTAGAGCCGAGGAAGCTTCTGGGATAAGAAGCGAAACGTCTTCAAAGAAAAACAAGAAAGTCCAATTGTCTCTTTGAGACAACCATGACCTGGATGACTGAGAACCTCCATAGATATTTAAGACTTGTGGACTTCAAGTCCCAGAATTCCCTAGCCAGCGTTTACCAGAATTCAGCACAGACAGGACCGCAAGAAATGTGGCTAGATTACCTTGATTCCATTTTTTGATAACCTTTTTAATAGACGGAGGGTATGCAGTCGACGTAATATATCTTGACTTCAGCAAAGTTGGGGGGGGGGGGAAAGCTGGCCGACGAATTCTGCAAATTGAAGCCCATAAGTCTTAAAGTTGCTGGATGGATCGATAAAGATAGACATAGAGAGATATAGCTACATAGCTAATAGAGATAGATAGATAGATAGATGATAGATAGATAGATAGATAGATAGATAGATAGATAGATAGATAGATAGATAGATAGGGAGAGAGAGAGAGAGAGACATACATACATTGATATAGATAGAATGATAGATAGATAAATGACTGATAGATGAGAGATGGATGGATGGAGGGATGGATGGATAGATGACAGATAGACAGATAGGTAGGTAGATAGATAGATAGATAGATAGGGAGAGAGAGAGAGAGAGAGACATACATACATACATTGATATAGATAGAATGATAGATAGATAAATGACTGATAGATGAGAGATGGATGGATGGAGGGATGGATGGATAGATGACAGATAGACAGATAGGTAGGTAGGTAGGTAGGTAGGTAGATAGATAGATAGATAGATAGATAGATAGAGATAGATAGACAGAGATAGATAGATAGATAGATAGATAGATAGATAGATAGATAGATAGATAGATAGATATACTAGATATAGATATACTAGATATAGATATACTAGATATAGATAGATATACTATAGATAGATAGATAGATAGATAGATAGATAGATAGATAGATAGATAGATAGATAGATGATAGATAGATAGATAGAATGATAGAAAGATAAATGACTGATAGATGAGAGATGGATGGATGGAGGGATGGATGGATAGATGACAGATAGACAGGTAGGTAGGTAGGTAGGTAGGTAGGTAGATAGATAGATAGATAGATAGATAGATAGATAGATAGATAGATAGATAGATAGATATAGATAGATAGATAGATAGATAGATAGATAGATAGATAGATAGATAGATAGGGAGAGAGAGAGAGAGAGAGAGAGACATACATACATTGATATAGATAGAATGATAGATAGATAAATGACTGATAGATGAGAGATGGAGGGATGGAGGGATGGATGGATAGATGACAGATAGACAGATAGGTAGGTAGATAGATAGATAGATAGATAGGGAGAGAGAGAGAGAGAGAGAGAGAGACATACATACATACATTGATATAGATAGAATGATAGATAGATAAATGACTGATAGATGAGAGATGGATGGATGGAGGGATGGATGGATAGATGACAGATAGACAGATAGGTAGGTAGGTAGGTAGGTAGGTAGATAGATAGATAGATAGATAGATAGAGATAGATAGACAGAGATAGATAGATAGATAGATAGATAGATAGATAGATAGATATACTAGATATAGATATACTAGATATAGATAGATATACTATAGATAGATAGATAGATAGATAGATAGATAGATAGATAGATAGATAGATAGATAGATAGATAGATAGATAAATGACTGATAGATGAGAGATGGATGGATAGATGACAGATAGACAGATAGGTAGGTAGGTAGGTAGGTAGGTAGATATATATATATATATATAGATAGATAGATAGATAGATAGATAGATAGATAGATAGATCTGAGCAGGGGGATGGGCTAGAAGATCTCCCAGGTCCCTTCCAATTCTGTTATTTTGTTAAATGGGTCCATCTAAGTGACTGTTGAGTCAAACAGAGACTTCCATAAAGACTATCAAAACGGAACAGAACAGAACTTCAACAGAGTTGGGAGGGACCTGGGAGGTCATCTAGTCCAACCCCCTGCTCAGGCCGGAGACCCTATCCCATTTCAGACAAATGGCGGTCCAGTCTCTTCTTAAAACCCTCCAGTGATGGAACGCCCACAACTTTGGGAGGCACGCATTGTTGGTCATGTTCTAGCACAGTGTTTTTCTCAACCTTACCCACTTGAAGCCAGGTGGACTTCAGCTCCCAGAATTCCCCAGCCAGTCTTCAAGTTGCTGGGTTTGAAGACCCCTGCTGTAGAGCGAGGCTTCCCATCACTGGACACTTTAAGGTGAGTGGGCTTCAACTCCCAGAATTCCCTGGCACTAATGCATTCCTTTTGATGTGTGTATACCCATCGATGTCCTTACTCTCTTACAATCCCTTCCTCTGCAATCTTTCTGCTATAGGCGGTAGGAGGGGAAAAAAGGCATAGCTGGCTGAAGAATTCTGGGAATTGAAGCCCATAAGTCTTAAAGTTGCTGGGTTTGAAGACCCCTGCTGTAGAACTAGGCTTCCCAACCTTGGACACTTTAAGGTGAGTGGACTTCAACTCCCAGAATTCCCTGAAACTAATGCATTCCTTGTGATGTGTACACCCATCGATGTGCTTACTCTCTTATAATCCCTTCCTCTGCAATCTTTCCGCTATAGAAGGTAGGAGGGGGGGAAAAAAAAGTCATGGCTGGCTGGCTGGGGAATTCTGGGAGTTGAAGTCCACCCGTCTGAAAGTGTCCAAGGTTGGAAAGCCTGTCGCAGAAGAACCCAAAGCGATGGGGCTACTCGCCTCCCGAGCGGTGTCAATCTTGATCTCGGTCATCTCGCTGGTCTCCAGCTGCTCTGTCACTTCCGTGGCAGTCACCTTGGAGGTCTGCAAGGTGTTCACCAGCTGCACGTCGTCCAGCAGGGAGCCGGTGGCTTCGTTCAGCAACCTGCGGGCGGGAGGACAGAGAGCTGAGCCAACGCGTGGACCCCCGTGTCTCCCTCTTCCGAGCGGTTGTGAAATGAGCTTCTCCAAAGCGCCTGAAGGCAGGAGAAGAAGCAACGGATGGGAACTCATCAAGGAGAGAAGCAATCTGGAACTAAGGAGAAACTTCCTGACAGTGAGAACAATTGTTCTCAATTAACCAGTGGAACTACCTGCCTCCAGAAGCGGTGAATGCTCCAACACTGGAGGTTTTTAAGAAGAGACTGGACAGCCATTTGTCCGAGATGGTATATAGGGTTTCCTGCCTGAGCAGGGGGTTGGACTAGATGACCTCCAAGGTCCCTTCCAACTTTATCATTATTTATATTTATTATATTATATTTATATTATATTTATATTATATTTGTATTATATTTATATTATATTATATTATATTATATTATATTATATTATATTATATTATATTATATTATATTATATTATATTATATTATTATATTATATTATATTATATTATATTATATTATTATATTATATTATATTATTATATTATATTATATTATATTATATTATATTATATTATTATATTATATTATATTATATTATATTATATTAATATTATATTATATTATATTATATTAATTATATTATTATATTATATTATATTATATTATTATATTAATTATATTATATTATATTATTATTATAGTATAGTATAGTGTATTATTATTATTATTATTATTATTATTATTATTATTATTATTATTATTATTATTATTATTATTATTATTATTATTATTATTATTATACCACACAGGTGAAAAATCGTTTCCCCCCAAAACTTAAGACCAGTGTTTTGCAACCTTTGGCCCGTTTCAGAGGCCTGGGCTTCAACTCCCAGCATTCCCCAGCCAGCACAACAGGTTCCTACTGAATTGTCAGGCCATCTACTGTAAATTAACATTTGTTGATTTAACCTGTCATGGGCTATCATCATCATCATCATCATCATCATCATCTTCTTCTTCTTCTTCTTCTTCTTCTTCTTCTTCTTCTTCTTCTTCTTCTTCTTCTTCTTCTTCTTCTTCTTCTTCTTCTTCTTCTTCTTCTTCTTCTTCTTATTATTATTATTATTATTATTATTATTATTATTATTATTATTATTATTATTCTTATTATTATTATTATTATTATTATTATTATTATTATTATTTTTGCTGAAGTCAAGGTACATTACATCGCCCGCGTTCCCACCATCTACTAATCCAAAAAAGGTGACATTTGTTGTTATCCTCTCCGTGCTGAATTCTGAATTCTGTCTGGGGAATTCTGGGAGTTGAAGTCCACAAGCAGGGGTCTTCAAACTTGCTCCTTTTACGACTTGTGGACATCAACTCCCAGAATTCCCCAGCCAGCACAACAGGTTCCTACTGAATGGTCAGGCCATCTACTGTAAATTGACGTTTATTCATTTAACTTGTCATAGGCTATTTTTATTTATTTTTATTTTTATTATTATTTTTTCACTCTGCTGAAGTCAAGGTATATTACATCGCCCGCGTTCCCACCCTCTACTAAGGAAGTTTCCCAATCCAAAAAAGTTGAGGTTCGTTGTTATCCTAGCTGTGCTGAATTCTGAATTCCGGCTGGGGAATTCTGGGAGTTGAAGTCCACAAGTCTTAAAAGCTCCCAAGGTTGGACACACACACCCCTGCCACAAATCGTCCTGCCCGCGGAGTCGTGAGTCCGTCTCCTTCAGAGTCCCACCTGAGGATCTCGTCTTCCAGCTCCTTCAGCTTCCTCTTCCCGGCCGCGATGTTGAGGACCAGCGAGTCCTTCTGCTCCTCCAGTTCGGGCCGCTCCTTCCGGACCACGATGCCCAGCAGCTGGGCCTCCAGGCCCTGGAAGCAGGAGGGCCCCCGGTGGGTGTTTCGCCCATAGTCGCCCGCCATTCCCACCCAGGAGCCGGTCAAAGCAGGGGGGGCCACCCAGAGGGCATCTGGACGAAGCGCCTACCTGCTCTTTGACGGCGAAGTTGACGATGGTGGTCTGGGAGGAGGTCTCGGGCGTGTAGTGAGGGTTGGAGAGCTTGGTGGTGAGGTAGAATCGGAACTCGGGGTGATACTCCACCTCCTTGTCCCCCAGCCGGATCAGCAGGCGCCCACCTACCGGATACAGATGTGTGTGTGTATGTGGGTGTGTGTTAGGGCCCGGTCACGGGAGTGCAAGGGGGGGGCTGCTCCTCCTCCTCCCCCCCAGGCCCTGCTCCGGTGGCACGCACCCACTTTGGTGACCGACTTGTTGAGGATGGGGGCCAGGGTGGGGTCCAGCTCCTCCTGCACGTTCTGCAGCAGCACCGGGGAGCCCAGTTGGATGGCCGCTTCCAGGATGCGCAGGTAGTCGGGCATCTGCAGGTCGATGATCTTCAAGCCCTGGGCCAGGGGAAGGAGGAGGAGGAAGGCTCTGGGCGGGGGTCCGGTGGGCGGAGGAGAGGGTCTCTGAGCCCGGGGGCTGTTTGGGGACCATCGCTTGCTGCCCCCCACGCAGGGCGTTCGAATGGCGGGGAGCCCTGGCCCAGCCCCAGCGAGGGAGGGAAGGAGGAAGGAAATCGGAAAGAGGAGGGAGGGAGGGAGGAAGGAAATGGGTAAGAGAAGGGAGGGAGGGAGGGAGGGAGGAAAGGATGGGACAGAGGGAGAGAGGAAGGAAATCAAAAAGAGGAGGGAGAGAGGAAAGAAATGGGAAAGAGAAGGGAGGGGAGGGAGAGAGGAAAATCGGAAAGAGGAGGCAGGGAGAGAGGAAGGAAATCGGAAAGAGGAGGGAGGGAGGGAGGGAGAGAGGAAGGAAATGGGAAAGAGGAAGAAGGAAGGAAATCGGAAAGAGAAGGGAGGGAGGGAGAAAAGGAAGGGAAAGAGGGAGAGAGGAAGGAAATCGGAAAGAGGAGGGAGGGAGGGAGGGAGGGAGAGAGGAAGGAAATGGGAAAGAGGAAGGAGGGAGGAAGGAAATCGGAAAGAGGAAGAAGAAAGGAAGGAAATGGGAAAGAGAAGGGAGGGAGGGAGAAAAGAAAGGGAAAGAGGGAGAGAGGAAGGAATTTGGAAAGAGGGAGAGAGGATGGATGGAGGGAGGAAGGAAATGGGAAAGAGAAGGGAGGGAGGGAGGAAAGGAAGGGAGGAAATGAGAATAGGAGGGAAGAGAGAGGGAAGGAGGGAGATGAGAACGGGAAGGAAGGAAGGAGAAAGTCAGAAGGAAGGAGGGAGGGATGGAGGGGAGGCCCCAGGAGGAAGCTGTGCTTGGGGGGCAGGGGGGGGTCAAAGGGGGGCTCCTCACTTTCTTGGCCTCCATGTTCTTGATCCACTTAGTGGCCTGGCACTGAGGGTCGATCATCAGGGGCCACCTAAGGGAAGACGAAAGGCCCCGTCAGGACCTCTTCGGTGCCTTCGGGAACCCTCCGTGGGGGGGAGGTTGTCTCCCGACGCCCCCCCCCGAACCCCACCCCAGAGCCCCTCCACCAGGCAGGCCCGGAAGGACGCGGGCCCCACCGGTTCCCCCGGGTGACGATGATCCCGTTCTCGGTGGAGAAGTCGTCGGAGGGCAGTCCCTGGATGTTCCAGGTGCGCACCAGGGTCGGGTTGGAGAGGAAGCTGTCGCAGGTGAAGGACGGCGAGCAGGGCACGTGCAGCTGCCGGATCTGCGGGAGGGAAGGAAGCCGGGAGGAAAGCCGGGAGGAGCCCGGGCAGGGCAGGCCCCGGCCGTCTGGGCACCACGCTGGCCTGCCTTCAGCACCGGGAGCCCTCCCAGATCCGTCCCTGCCAGGCCCGCCAGGCCAGGGGGGTCGTTCCGGTCCTCCCTCTCCGAAGGACGGGAGAAAGACCTGGGCCTCAAAAGCCCAGCGGTTCCCCCCTCCCCTTGGTTGCAGGGGGAGGAGGAGGAGGAGGAGGAGGAGGGAAGGAAGAAGAGGAGGAAGAGGAAGAGCAGTAGTGTTGGGTCTTTGGTGGTCTCTGAGCTGGGTGGGTTTTTTTGCAGATGTCTCGTGACCCAACTAGGCAACATCATCAGTGCTAGAAGGGTGTGTGGGAGTAGGGGGAGGAGGAGGAGGAGGAGGAGGAGGACGAGGAGAAAGAAGAAGAGGAAGAGGAGGAGGAGGAGAACTGTGGGGTCCTTGGTGCTCACTGAGCTTGATTGTTTTCTTCCAGATGTTTCATGACCCAAGTAGGAACATCATCAGTGTGAGGAGGAGGAGGAGGAGGAAGAGGAAGATGAGGAGGAGGAGGAGGAGGAGGAGGACTGTGGGGTCCCTGGTGCTCACTGAGCTGGGTGCTTTTCTTGCAGACATTTCATGACCCAACTAGGGAACATCATCAGGCCTAGAAGTGGGAGGAGGAGTAGGAGGAGGAGGAGGGCTCACCTGCTTCATCCAGATGTGGGAGACCATCTCATCCCGGTAGTTGGAGAGGAAGGGCCCCATGTAGGACACGAAGGCCGAGGCCAGCAGACAGTCGCCCACCAGGTAGCCCAGGTCTTCCTCCAGGCCCTGCGGGAAGCCAAGAGCCCTCCAGACATCCATCGGGGGGGGGGGGGCTGTCTCCAGCCTCTGCGGCTTTCGGACCTCTGGACTTCCCACTCCCCAGAATTCCTCCAGCCAGCATGGAAGGGGAGGGGAGGGGAGGGAGGAAGAGAGAGAGAGAGGAAGGGGGGAGGGAAGGAGAGAGGGAGGAAGGAGGAAGAGATGGGAAGGAGGAGGAAAGGAAAGGAAAGGAAAGGAAAGGAAAGGAAAGGAAAGGAAAGGAAAGGAAAGGAAAGGAAAGGAAAGGAAGGAAGGAAGGAAGGAAGGAAGGACAGAGTTGGAAGGGGCCTCAGAGGTCTTCTAGTCCAGCCCCCTGCTCAAGCAGGAGACCCTAACCCATTTCAGACAGATGGTTATCCAATCTCTTCTTAAAAAGGAGGAGGAGGAGGAGGAGGAGAATAGAGTTGGAAGGGACCTTGGAGGTCATCTAGTCCAACCCCCTGCTCAAGCAGGAGACCCTATAGCAGTTCAGACAAATGGCTGTCTCTTCTGAAAAGTCTTTTTGGAAGGAAGGAAGGAAAGAAGGAAGGAAGGAAGGAAGGAAGGAAGGAAGGAAGGAAGGAAGGAAGGAAGGAAGGAAGGAAGGAAGGAGATGGAGCGATCAATGGAAGGGTGAATGGATGGAAGGAAGTAGAGATGGAAGGATGGATTGATGGATGGATGGATGGATGAAAGGAAGGAAGGAAGGAAGGAAGGAAGATGGGAGGGAGGGACAGAAGGCTGGCTGAGGAATTCTGGGAGTTGAAGTCCACAAATCATAAGTTGCCAAGGTTAGAGACAGACAGACAGACACACACACACACACACGCTCCCTCCTTTCCTGCCCCAGAGCCCCGGGACTTCGCCCTGGCTGGCCAAGGGGGTGCTGGACCCCCATGGGGGCCCATGGGGGGGGTCTTCCCAGGGAGCCGGAGAGAGGCTGGGGGGCCCGTGGGATCCAGGCCCACCTTGACGGTCTCCTCCCAGCGGATCTTCTCCCCGGCCAGGCCGGAGACCAGCTTGTCCGCCCGGTCCAGCTTGACCTCCATCTCCTCCGACTTCTTGCGCAGCTCCTCCTTCTGAGCCAGCTTCTCCTCGTACTCCTTCTTCAGCATCTCCAGCTTCTCCGCCACCTGGGGGGGGGGGAGGAGGGCGAGGGAGGGGTCTCAAGGCCCTCCACGGAGGCCATTCCCCCCTGGTGCTCCCCCCCCCGAGAAGGGCTGGCCTGGGTCTGCACAGGGGGCGACTTCCCCCTTCCTTTCCCTTCCTTCCTTCCTCTCATCCCTCTCTCTCCTTCCTTTCCTTTCCATTTCTTTCCTTCCTTCCACTTCCCATCTCTATTCCTTCCTTCCTCCCTCCCTCCCTTCTTTTCTATTTCCCTTCCCTTCCATCTCTTCCCTTCCTTCCCATCTCCTACCCCTCCTTTTCTCCCTATTTCCCTTCCCTTCCTTTCCATCTCCTTCCTTCCTTCCCTCCTTCCTTCCTTCCCTTTCCCATATTTATTCCTCCCTCCCTCTTCTTTTTCTCCTTCCTTCCTTCCTTCCTCTTCCCATAACTATTCCTACCTCCCTTTCTTTTTCTCCTCCTTTCTCTTTTTCTTTCTTTCTTTCTTTCTTTCCTTCCTTCCCCTATCTATTCCTTCCTCCTTTTCTTTTTCCTTTTCCTTCCTTCCTTCCTTCCTTCCTCTTCCCATAACTATTCCTACCTACCTTTCTTTTTCCCCTTCTTTCTTTTTCTTTCTTTTTCCTTCTTTCTTTTCCTTTCCTTTCTTTCTTTCTTTCTTTCTTTCTTTCTTTCTTTCTTTCTTTCTTTCTTTCTTTCTTTCTTTCTTTCTTTCTTTCTTTCTTTCTTTCTTTCTTTCTTTCTTTCCTTCCCCTATCTATTCCTCCTCCTTTTCTTTTTCCTTTTCCTTTCTTCCTTGCTTCCTTCCCATCTCTGTCCCTTCCACCCTCCCTCCCTCCCTCCCCTCTTTTCTCTCTTTCTCTTTTCCCCTTCCCTTCGGGGTGAGAGGGACCTCCGGGGATTCCCACCCCCTCCATTAGCCAATCCATCCCCCCCCCCGGTCCACCATTCTCAACCCTTAGCAACTTTTAGATCTGTGGACTTCGCCTCCCCAGAATTCAATGCCGGCTGGGGAATTCTGGGAGTTGAAGTCCACAACGTCTTACAGCTGCCCAGGCTGAGACACCCCGTCCCGGATCGTCTTCTACTCCGCAGCACCGACCTCCCGAAGGCGCTCCTGGGCTTCGGCCTGGGCCGCCTGCTTCTCCGCCAGTTGGGCCAAGGCGGCGTTCATACGGGCCCGCTTGGGCTCCACCACGCGGTAGATGCGTCCGTACATCTGGGCGGGGGGGGCAAGAGGGGAGAACTTAGCGAGCTCCGGGTGGGAAGACCCAGGGTCGCCATCCCATGGCTGAAGGCCGCTCCTCACCTCCATGGCTCGCACCCACATGCACAGCGACTTGGCGGCCACCGAGACCCTCCCGATGATATCCGGCTGGAAGTCTGGCTGGGAGCAGTAGGCGCTGATCTTCTTGAGAACTTTGTCGGAGATGTTATCCTTGTCGAAGTGCACCAGTTGCTTGATGAAGTTGGGCTCGCCTGGAGGAGACAGGTCCAAGTCATCGAGTCGTCTGGCCCAGAACCTCCTCCACAGGAGAAGCCATGTTGTGGATCCCTCTGAGAGTTGAGGGTTCGTTCCGAGGAAACCTAGATGTCTTCCACGGAGGAGACAGATAGACGACCCCCAGTTGGTCCCCCAGGTGGGCTCCTCAGGACCTCTTACCTAGCTGCTTCTTGGCTTCAGCCCAGGTGGGCTCGTTGCCCCTCAGGATCATGACCGCCTGCATCACGGTCTCCACCAGCGTAGGTGGCCGGCCGTAAGACTTGATCTCCGTCAAGTCCTTCTTGTTGAGGGACTCCAAGGCCTGGGAAGCCAGAGAGTGAATTAGCCTTCGAATAGAATAGGAGCTGGAAGGGACCTCGGAGGTCTTCTAGTCCAGCCCCCTGCACAAGCAGGAGACCCTATACCAGGGCTCTCCAAAGTTGGCAACTTTAAGACTTGGAAACTTCAACTCCCAGAATTCCTCAGCCACTTTAAGACTTGGGGGACTTCAACTCCCAGAATTCCTCAGCCAATTTACTACTTCAGGACTTCATCTTCCAGAATTCCTCTGCCACTTTAAGACTTAATAATAATAATAATAATAAAGTTGGAAGGGACCTTGGAGGTCATCTAACCCCTCCTCTTTGTGACAGCCCCCCCCCCAAATACTGGAAGACTGCCATCATGTCACTAGTCCTTATTTTCATTAAACTAGACCAACCCAATTCCTGCCACCGTTCTTCCTATGTTTTAGTCTCCAGGCCTTTAAATCATCTTAGTTGTTCTTCTCGGCCCTTTTTCCAGAGTCTCAACATCTTTTTTGTCACGTGGGGACCAAAACTGGACGCAGGTATTCCAGGTGTGGCCTTACTAAGGCTTTACAAAGAGGGACTAATGCTTCAGGCGATTTTTGATTCTACGCCTCTGTTTACGCGAAGCGAGGATTGTATTCGCTTTTTTGGGCTGCTGCCGCACATGGCTGGCTCACGTTTTTTGTTTTGTTTTTTAAATTGGGGGCTTCCGGAGACCCCAAATCCAATATTCCCCAGGCTTATTGGGGGGGGGAATTCTCTCAGTGCCAATATCTAGATATATGGGGTGGGGGCTTCAAGATGGCCCCTGGTAATTAGGGGAGGGGGCTTTCCTACTGTCACTGTATTTATGAGGAGGAGGCTGCCATAAAATATATATGGAGGGGGTGTCTTCAAGGGCAGAAGCTTGGGAGGGGGCTTTTGGGGGGGGCTATGAGGGGGAGGGGCTTCTATAAGACCTGCTGAGGGGGAGGCCCAGGGTTTTGGGGGGGGCTTCTCACCCAAGAGGGGTCCAGGGACCTCCTCAGTGTGGAAGGGGGCGGGGGAGGAGGGCCCCCGCCCCACAAGTGGGGAGGGGCGCTCTGGGACGGGGGTCTCTCTCTTCGGGGCGCCCTCCCGCCCCTCCTGCGCTGAAACGCTGCCCTCACCTCGGCCACCACGGTCTAACCTGCCCGCTGGCTCGCGTTTAAGGGATTCGTCCGTTACTCCTGCCCGGTTTCTCCTCAAACCTTCACGGTGCCCATGGGGGGTGCCCACCTTCTGTGGCTGGGGGCGCCCCCTTCTCACCCACCTTCATGGCTTCCTCCAAGGCGGGCAGAGCTTCCTCCAAGTCCTTCTGGGCGTTGTCAGCCAAGGCTTTGCACTTAATCTCCTCGGTGGCGATCTTCTCGCTGTTTGCCGACACCGTCTGCGGGAGGGCGAAGAGGGAGAGAGGGAGAGAGAGAGACAGGGAGAGAGAGGGAGAGAGGGGGGGAGAGAGGGAGAGACAGGGAGAGAGAGAGAGAGAGGGAAAGAGAGGGAGAGACAGAGACAGAGAGAGACAGAGAGACAGAGAGAGAGAGGGAGAGAGAGAGAGAGGGAGAGAGGGAGGGAGAGAGGGAGAAAGAGGGAGAGAGGGAGAAAGAGGGAGAGAGACAGAGAGAGAGACAGAGAGACAGAGAGAGGGAGAGAGGGAGAGAGAGAGAGAGAGAGAGAGAGAGAGAGAGAGAGAGAGAGAGAGGGAGAGAGAGAGAGAGAGAGAGAGAGAGAGAGAGAGAGAGAGAGAGAGAGACAGAGAGAGAGACAGAGAGAGAGAGGGAGAGAGAGAGAGAGGGAGAGAGGGAGAAAGAGGGAGA